ATTTTTGCCGATTTCTCTCTCTCTCTCTCAATATTTTTTTGTAATGATAATAGTTTGAGGTGCTACATATGAACAAAAATCTTCCCTAATTACTCCTGGCATTTTTGTTTCGATGGACGATTTTAATCTTTTTTGGTTCTTTATATTTAGATTTCAGAACACATCAACTTTTTAGGACATTACACGCTAAGCGCTAAGCGAGCAAAGTTCAAAAATCGCTCCAAAACTTTATTTTTTGGATAATTAAAAGTGTTTGGCAAGATTTTTAAGTGTTTTCAGAGTGAAAAAACTATTTTTCTTTGAAAGATATCTAATAATTTCTTAAAAATGACAAAATCTTCTTAAAAGAAATTTAACAAACACGCTAAAAAAGGGGATTTAAACAAAAACGTTAGTTCGAGCTACACAGACAAATAAAAAATTTTCACATTTTTATGAGATAGCTGATTCCTTTTGCTTTATTGTCATTATTTCCTATGGTTGCTACCAAACCTCTATTTTTGTTTCCAGACCTTCCGGTCCGAAATTTTGATTTTGGTAATGATGGCATTTAACAAGTTGTGATAGCATAACACTCAATAGTTAATATTGAGTTCACAGTTTGCTAATTCATCTAACACTTTTTAACTTTCATTCTTTATTTATACTTCATACACATGCTTTAATAATATTTATGTAGTTTTTAAAAATTTATACTATAAGACATTATACACACGTGCAACGCACGTATCCTAAAACTAGTATTATATTAAAAGCATGAAGGCTCTTAGCGAAATATCGTTCGCCTTTTTATCCCTTTAAAATAGAGTTCACATTGGACAAAATCATAATTCAAATTATTTTCCTAATATTTAGGATTTTAATCTACTAAAATTTTGATTATTAGATATTTTATTTGAACTGATATAACTTTCCTTATCTGAATTAAGTAAATGATCCTATATTTAAAACTTTACAATCAATTAAAATTTACCTTATATATAAATTATGTACTACGATATTTAGACACTGACTTATAATAAACTTTAACTTCAACTAAAATTATATCCACTTCGAATTTATGTAAATTAGCTGGCGATGGACTAAATTCGATCCATATTCAAATCCATAATGGTAAAATTGAAAGAATACAGTTTGTCTAGAATAGCATCTATTCCTCTAATAAAGAAGTTATTTTTCCAAGTGGATTCTTATTAGAGTTCTGCAACTTTTTACTGTTATTTTTCCAAGTGGACGAATATTTAATATAGTTAAAATAAGATATTTTGTGAAATAAAATATTTGACCTATAAAAAGTATCAATATCTAGGAATCTAAAATCAAATTAAGATTTTAATTATTTTATACAATCATTTTCTTATATTTGAACAATATAACATTAGTGTAATTCCTTTCGTATTATCTTTGAATTATATATATATATGAACTATAATATATTTTCATATAATATTTGAACTACTTTTCTATTCAAACATTGTTTGTTATTCATCAATCATTTTTTTTTTTGTATAATATTTAAATACTACACTCGATAATTTCAACAAGTAACAAAAAGATATTTGAGAATATAAAAGAGAAAGAAAGAATTTGACCGTCAGAATAACATTTAAATATTGGATGACCTATATTAACAATTTGAATCAATAAAAGTAAACTACTTCCTCTAATGTTGAAACAAATAACTAAATCTTGCATTTATTCCAACAAACAATAGCTCTCTTTACCGAATTAACCATATGGGATTATCATCCATCATTTTAAAGAACTCATGCTTTTTTAAATTTTTAGTTTATAACTCATTTACGTTTAATAATATTTATTTAATTTTAAAAATTAAATACTCATTAATACAAGGTACACGCGCAAAGCGCGTACCCTAAAACTAGTATTTTAAAGGATGCGATGAATTTGGTCTAAGAGAAAGAAAGGTTCCTAAACCTTGTCCAACTAGATGGAATTACATGAATGAAAGTTTAGTTGGTGCATATGAATATAGAAACTCCATAAACTCAACATTTAATGCTCATGTAAGTGGTGATGATGAGCACCTTACAAATGCGGATTGGGCTAATGTTAAAATGCTTGTAGAGTTTTTAGAAAAATTTCATATTTTTCTACAAATGAATTTTCTGGGCAATATTATCCTACTATTTCTAAGTGTTTAGTTTATATTGCAGAACTTGCAAATTTGTTTGCTCATTTTTCAAAGGGTGGGGAAATTTATAAACTTCCTACTGATTCTATGAGAAAAAAGTTTAAAAAATATTTTTTCCCTATTTCCCCTATTTATGGTATTGTTGCTTTGTTAAATCCTTGTATGAAATTAGGAGGTCCTCAATTTTGGTATGAAACTGTTTATAAAGGTTTAACACTTGAAGATGAGGAGTTGTCTAAACTTCCGAAAGCAATAGCCTCAATTAGAATAAATGCTCAAACTATTTATAATGCTTATCAAGTTGCATTAGATCATGCTAGATCAAATGTTCCAACTCCTTCTTCTTCTGATTCTCAATCATCTAAAAGAACTACGGGAGTAAGAGCACTTAGTGCGTCGGCGGGGTTTAGGGGTTCTCAAGGTTCTACTAGTAGTGATTTTTCACAACTAAATGAGCTTGAAGTTTATTTGTCACTGGGAGTTGAGGAAGTGAATCCCGATGGCTCCTTTAATCTTTTGGAATGGTGGAAGGACAAAGAAAAATACTTTCCGGTTCTTTCAAGGATGGCCCGAGACATTTTAACTATTCAAGCTTCAACAGTGGCATCAGAGAGCGCTTTCAGTCAAGCAAGACTTCAACTCGGTGATTATAAAGCGTCTATGAGGGAGAGCTTGGAAAAATCAGTACTTTTTAGAGATTGGATCCGTTCAGAAAGAAGAAATTTTGGAGTTGCTGAATCACAACCAGAGGTAGACGAAGCTTACGAAGAAATGCTAGCTGAACTTGCGGAGGATTCTGCTTCGCCCGGAAGCGATGATGACCAAGCTTCTTTTCCGCAACCACCAACGGAAATTCCTCCGGACCTTAATGGATTTATGAAGTTTGTAAGAGATACCATGTAACTTGTATGAACAAAAATTAGTATGTATTATGTAACTTGTATTTTGGCACATCTTGATTAGTTTCTTTTTCTTCTCAATGGTGGTATTAGCACCTTGTTGTGCTCATTCCATAGGGGGAAGGAAGACTAAGAAAGATATTGCCATATTTTTTTAATGCTATAATAAAATTATAACGCATTGCTTTGAATATTCTTTACAATAACTTTTGTCTTTAAATTTGAATTAAAAAATTTAGGTCATAATTTTATAATAAAATTTACAAGGAATTGCCTTAGATATTTTTATTAACATCTTTTTTTCTCTGATTTCTATAAAATTTAAAATAAAAAAAATGTATCCACTGGGTCCACTTAGCCAGCGGCTGGGACCGTTTAGTCCGGGACCATTAGTTCGTGGGCCCGGTCCCGGGCCGGTTCCTACAAAAAGACCACCAGGACAGGGACCGTTTGGCCCGTTTAAATTGGGACCGGCCCACTTAGCCCACTTAAGCCCGGGACCGACCCACTTGCCAACCAAGTTTTAGGTTCAATTTTCTCCGGATTTTTGTCCATATCAGCAATATACTTAATACTCAAGTTGCTTGAAGCAAGTATATGGCTATGCTCGAATTTCATACGTCTAGGGCCACCCTCCCCCATGGGTAATTGGGTACGTATAAGGATACAAATAAAAAGACACATTATTGTTAAGCCTAATTATTTGGGATTCAAACCAAAATGATAATTCCTCAAAAATGCCCTAACAATGTAGCTCAGCTATTTAAGCCCAACAAAATTTGCAGCAACAAGACAATCTATAAGTAGGGAAAAGGGCCAAAAATGTTTCTCTACTATGCAAAAAGGATCATTTATACTCTCCGTTATACTTTTAGTCTACTATTACCCCCATGTTATAAAACTGATGCAAATATACTCTTCCTCCGTTAGGATGGCCATACCATCTCAAGGATCACTAGTATCCCAACGATATTTTACCCTCTCCTTCCACCACCACCTCTTCCATTACCCAACCACCGCCACCATCACCTTGTTTGCTTGAATTGATATTTTGTAAGCTCATGGAGAGTTCCCCAGTTATACTAGTTGGATTCGCTCTATTTTTTCTTCCCCTAAAGTTGGTAAAATTGGATACAAAATTTTACTTATTTCGTTTTCCGTTTGGATATAAGTGAAATTTTGGTCTTTTTTCGGTTTTTTTTTCTCGATTGGATGCATGTTGTGTTTTCGTATGATTTGTTCAAACAATTCTGGATGACTAGTTATCTTTTCCACTTTCTCAATTTTTGTAAAAATGTATTTAAACTCTTCATTTTTAATGTGAATTAAGAAATTGAAGAGCGTTAATAATCCAACTATAAAACTTTCAACTTTAAGGTGCAGAGAGGAGCTTCCTTCCCAGAATTAAAGCTTTAATGAATTCCTTTGCCTTCCCTCCCTTTCTTAGGAATATACAAGCATATGTATGCTGGAGAATCCTTTTCTTTTTGGTACAATATGTCTAGATAACAATATATTTTGTGTTCTGTTTGCTCAATAGAATTAGTAAACAACTTCCCTTAAATTCTTTTTTTTTTTTGGTGTATACGGATGATCTCTTTTGGGAGACAGGGTGAAGGGGAAGGTGCTGGTGGAAGAGGTGGAAGAAGAGGGCAAAATATGATTGGGACAGTGATGTGGTGTGCCATATGGTGTCCATATCAGCGAAACGTCATGTCATGTGAGACGGTGTGGCCATGGTGGAGGGTCCTAACGGAGGAGGGGTGTTTTTGCACTAGTTTTATAACTTCGGGGTATAGTGTAACGGAGGGCATAAATGATCCTTTTCACATAGTAGACGGGCATTTTTGACCCTTCTCCCCTACAAGTAATTAACTGTCTTTCAGCATTACCAGTAACCTGTAAATGACTTGTAAATATACTCACCGTGTCCAAAGTGCCACATACATCCATGAAAAAGGTAAATTACTAAGCTATTCTTTCATGCAATTACATGATTTTTATAGTTAAAGCACAAGATACTCTGGCACAAGAAAGATCTGTCTCTAATGCAACTTGTTCCACTCAAAGTTTCATGCACCCATACTAGCTAACTTTGGATATGAATCATAACAGAACACATGAGAAGTTTATGTAATCCACATCCTAGTCTTTGCCTGCATTTTCTTGATTTCGTGCGCGTTTGCTAGTGACACCAGAAAAGCACAGAGCATAAAAAGGAACTGTTACTGTGGCATAAAGTTTGTACTTGGTTTGGGTACAAAAGGAGAGACAAAAGATTGACAGTGCTCGTCTAACTTTGATGCACATTACCAGGCCAGTGATAAACTCCCGTCATCAGAAAGCTTCTAATCTCAACTCTTGAATCACGTCATCTTGATTTCCTGGAATCCAAGTGATGGTCATGCAGACCTTAGCTGAGGCTCAAATTTGTAAAGCGCTTTGCACAAATCAAAGAAAAAAATTGGTGGCAGTATTTTGTACATCAGGAATCTGTTCTTCGTTCAACAGAAACTTCAGATACACTCTCAGAGGCCGGTTTTACTGTCAAAGGCAAATCCACTATCGTGCTTGGAGGAGCAAAATACATATGTAGGGACATCATGCAGATAATTATACCCAAAAAGAGCTGCAAATAGAAAAATTAAGAATAGAATAAACACTAAGGAAGAAACTGACAATGACACAGTAAAGAGATGTTTATGAAATATAAGGGCAAATAACAAAAGCAATGCAAATTAGAAACAGCTTTCTGGTGCCTACTTGTACAGTTGGCTTGAAGTCGAAGAGGAGCACTGATAACACCATTGTCAGGAGCATCGCCATAGAAGTGGCATACACCTGAAAAAGAACAGGTAACAATTTGATTATTCGGATAGAAGAGCAAAAGGAAGACTAAAGGAGCAATCATTCAAAAGAGAGCAAAACAAACAAATTCCCAGTAAAAATGACATCACATAGTTATAGCTAAGCAATCATTTTGGAAAAGCTCTGAATCACCAAGATAGAAAGGTAAAACAACTGATACACACTTTATTACACAAAATCACTAGACCTGCATATCATCAACTAGCTATCTCTATACATTTAAATAATGGCCAGTTGCAGTGTTGAACGAGAAATGACACTTCATCTCTCGTTCAACACACACTATGTGCAAGCAACCATGAGTATGAATTTCATTTCCTTTTTTTCTCCTTTTCTTTTCAGCAACATTGCGCCTAGATGCATTATTTAAGTTGCTCGAACCCAGTCTTTATGGGTTTTTTTGAACAGTCCAAAAGTTATCTTTCTTCCCATAAAAACTTCCATCTCATTGAGAAACTACACCTGTCCCGTCACCGCCCCCTTCCCCTTAGCCTCTCTCAATTTCTAAGCAGAGATGCTATCTAAAATAACTCATCGGCTTTCTCATCCCTGGATAATTTATTTGAGAACCGGAATCAGGAATCTAAAAATTCTTTAACGTTATATAGTAGGATTTGTAACTCTTAATGTACAAGAACATAGACAATTGCCATGAAAATCAAGGGGAATTAAAAAGAACTTTTATTGATATGTAACTACAGTTCATAACAAACTTATCAAAGGTGATCAGAATCGTTCACAAATGGAACAGAAAGCAAATGCATCTAATTCGGTAAGATAAGGTACCTTTACAATATTGTCAGCATACTTCATCAACCATGAAACCAAAAGGCCAGTGGTTCCAAGATTCAACACTACCAACCATGTGGTCATGTTGTATCCATTGAAAAGGCGCTGCCACCAAGGTCCTTCCTCAAACCCACTTCTAAAATCATCCATAAGAAGTCGACCCATGTTGAATATTGAACCAAATCTGAAAGTCCAATGCACTATTTAAATTAACTGACTGATTTCAAGGGCCTTTACTAATAGAATGAAATTTGATCGCATAACAGGACTCAATCAGTATCTGAAGACTAACAAAATTTCTTCCTTAAAGTCACATGAAACCATCTTCTACTTTAGAGTTTTAACATATGTATGAGAGAATGAACTCAATTGGATTCAATAACCAAACCAGTATATATCGTTTGGTCAGGAAGAACTCACGTGTATAATTGGACATTCTGCCAATACAAGCTGTCATTATTCTTCTTCATCAAGAATTCAGTATAAACACCAGCCAGTGCTGAAAGACAAGCAGAGAGTACACCAAACAAATATCCTTGAATGGGTGATGAAAAGAGTGAGTCACAAGAAGCCTCTCCACAGCCTTTCACCTGTGTTGAACACCAGGCAAGTGCAGAGCAATTATTAATACTCCCTCAGTCCTATTTGACTGGACATGAGATTTTAAATTGACTTACATGCTATATTAGTAATAATAAAAGTCAATATTAAATAAATGGTTAACAGAAACATAATATCAAAGTTTAGGACTTGAGTACTTGAAAGTTGAGAAAGTTGTTCAGAAATGGAATAGGGTCAAACATTTTGAGACGTCTCAAAATGGAATGAGTGTCACATAATTGGTATGGAGAATATCACTTTATTTCTTCAAAACGGTGACAAAAGAGGCAATATTCTGATATCTACTTTTGTAATATATCCACATATTGAGGATAAGTCAACTGGAGTAGTCATAAGGTTAAGCTTGAACTAGATGCAGACAGGCAATACTAAAAAGATCCAGTCTTTGAAATTGAATGATTGCCTAAGAAAAACAGTAGAGAGCATTAGCATATATTACAAACTACACTGGTACATCCATAATAGCATATAGAATCAAATCTGCAGGCAATTTACTGAGAATTTTGATCCCATAACTGAACCAATAATCCATTATACTTGTAGCATAATCCTATATGAGCAATCACTGAGCAGTAACCATCTTTCATGATAAAGAACAGGTTATGCTTGAAATTAATATAACAGCTGGAATACAGGACTTCAATTTGACAATGCTGTTTCCAACACCATACATGATTAAGTTTCTGGTCAGGTCTCTAAAAGAAAATTTCTACACATGACATGGTTTAACGCACCCAAATCATGATGCTTAGACAATAGGCAAGCAGATTCCATAATCACCTGGCTTGTGGTTGTTCCAACAGCCAAAAGTACAATTGCCATCCACTGCAAGTTTGTAAGTTTCCTCTTCAGAAACAGCCTAAAATATGAAAGATAATTCTCTAATTTACTTACCAAGTTCAATGCAGGAAATAAGGAATTGATGCTGAATGAAAAGAAGCGAAATAAAGGTGGGAAACTAGGCAAAAAAGTCAGCACCAAGCACCTGAACAATATTCCCGTAGTAACAATCTTTAAATTGCCCATTATCTGATAAGTCGATGTATCTACATATGTCAATGTAGCAAACTGCACATTGTTGTGGATGAGATAAATGATAGATGGAATCGGGTATAAACGAACACTCTTCCAATCCATTGTCATCTTGGGAGGCGGTGAGTTTTGCATCTCTCTCCAAAGAAAGATACTAGATACTAAAAGCTGCAGTTTGACAAATGAATGAATGAGGAAAATATCAGAGAAAATCCTCAAATCAAGAAGTAACTATAATGCAAAAAGGATTACTACACAGCAAATAGCCCCATCAATGCCCTCTCCAAAAGATCCTTCCAAAGGTAGATATACAGTCAAACAGGATCTTCCATACAAACTATATATCTATTCTTTTTTAAAGTAGGATAATCCATATGTTTTTAAGAGATTGCTCTAATTAATGATGAATATGAGGCGAACTTTTGTAAAAAATAGAGACATAGATGTAGTTCATTTCATTAAGCTGAAGATTAAGAGAGGAACATTCTATACAGAATCCAAAAGAGGGGAGATGGAATTCCTCAACAGCTTTTCATTCTAGTATTTTTAATGATGATAGAGCATAACGGCAAACACAACATTAAATTAGTAAATTGAAAAGGAACAAAACATGATAGTACAGCTGGTATAAGAAGAATGAGGATCCAATTTAAAGCTTCCTTTCTACTTCAGGATAAGTTTTACTTGAAAGCTATAGCAAAAAAGAGCATTCCTCAAAATCCTATTTATTCTAGTATTTTAATTAAAATAATAGAACACGATGTACCCACCCTCTTAAACAGAAAAAGCTAATCTAAGAAATGATACCTTGAAAACTTCAGCTAGAAAAGGAACAGTAGCATAATCATATTTGTATCCTCCATTACTTTGAGATAACGTCGTCAAAATTCCCTGTCACAGAATGCATAATTCGAACATTAATCCATAAATCCAAGATTATCAACCTACATGTATCTAATTTCAATTAATCGACACTTGATATGTAATCAAACCACTAATTATCACTTATACAATAATATGCAAACTAAAATGCGGAACGCTTACAGAAAATCTCATTAATCGGCTCAATACACTTCTTGATGAAAAGTGAACTTGATTTTACTCTTTCAAATTGTAGCTATAGCAATTTTACACACATATTCATGAGCTAATATTCTAAGTGTTAGTAGAAACACAGATCAGATGTGAAACTTCGAGAAGCAGAAAACGGAGAGTGGAATTAGGAGAAACCTGAGAGCTGGTGAGAACGGTGAGAAGCGAAGCGACGACGTACCACCGCATATCGCCGGAGATTCGCTACCTGCCTTTTCCCGGCGAAATGTGAATCGGAAATTCTGCTCTCCGTTCTGCTTTCTTCTTTGAGGAGTTTTCTGAAATTACGAACACACTGTCACAGCGCCACTGGGTATTTCCGAGTGTTTTTCTTTTTCAAAAAAGGAACTCTTCATGTGAAAAGAAAAGAAGTCGATCTTTGATATATGTATGCGTGTAGGCTGTAGCATATATTATTAAAAAAAAATAGATTAGCACTTTATCAGTTCAGATGTGTGCAAGCTGTTCGAATATCATACATTAAAAGAAATCAACATTTCACTAAAAAAAATTTAAAAAAAAAAAAAAAACATTTCACTAGTCCATCCATGAAATTTTACTTTTGGAATCTTCCTATCTATGTAAATGTAAATGTAAATGTTGAAGAAATCATTTTCTTAACTTTCTTATAGAATATTCTTCCTTTGGTCGGCAAATGCTAGTGTTGTTTCATGCATTCTTTTTTTTTTTCTGTTTTATTTTGTTGGTATAAAATATTGTAGGCATAAAACTATACAATATATGACTTGTTAGAAAATTTAAAATAAGATATTTATTAAGATAATATTTCTTCTTTGTATTATTACATGGTTTAATGTTCAGAATTGGTATGGGTGGATCCACCTCCTGAGCAGTGGTTGCAAAAGCATTTACTTTCTTATACTCAAATTATATAAATTTTAAACAATCAATCGACTATACACCAATCTCAAGTAAGTTGATATTAATGTGAACCATTCATATGATTCCATTCTACTCTGTAGAAATAACTATATATTTGATTATTTTTTTTCCCGAAATACTTATTTATATTAAGTTATGCTTATTGTCAAAATATTGAGTTGAAGCAGTGAAAGAGGCATTGCGACTAACGATATAGAAAGTGATACCTTTCACATATTACAAACTCGAAAATGTCAACAGCACGTATTTTATGGAATATACAGCTTTGCCGGCCTAAAACGTGCAATTTGGCGCAAGCAAATTATACTAGAGAATCTGCCAAGTGTTGGGCCATCAACAAAGTTCCTGTTTCAAAACCATTTCTTACTTTATTTTCTTAGTTTCTGTAATTCTGAAAATTCCAAGAGAGCTTGATTGCCCCCCTGTGATCCATTGTCATAGTTATGCAATCAAGTTCTACGTTGCGGTATAAGATTTGATTGCTAGTAGCTCAGATTCAATTCAACAACCTTAACAATTTCATATTCTGTTTTTGGTAGCAAGTCCAATAGCCTTGCCAAGAGAGATATTCATAAAGGTTTTAACGATTCATAATTACTTAATGTGATAAAGGAGCATGACGAAGCCAAGCCACTAGTAGAGTAAGTCGTTCATTGCAACCAATTGTAAATTCTTTGAGGCTCATATCCAATTCACAACCGTTTAACATTTTCATATTTTCTCAAGAAATATATTGCAGCTGGTATTCATTTCAAGACCCCATCTTTTCCCCTTTTTCTTTAGGGAAGTTTGATATACATTTTTTTGGTCTACGAATCTTCAGGTTGTGAACAAGAACTGGACGATGCAGTTTGGCATTTGATGTTTAATCAAGGCCAACTTTGATCTCCCTTACGTTTGTTGGAACCCCATTTCAAAAATCACAATTTCTTGGTAAGCCATGTCCTTTGCTATTTTTTCTTTTTTCGCCTTCAAAAATACATGTGATATTCATAGGCAATAATATTTTCTTTACTCATAATTGAGATGTAATTGATTGATATGCTTATGACCAGATCTTATATATATGTCCAAGCATGCCGGCGCTGGAGGAATTCAGGCAGATAGGAGAGGTAATTGGGAGCCTTAAAGCTCTAATGGTTTTCCAAGATGACATACAAATAAATCAGAAACAATGTTGCTTGTTGGTGGATATGCTCAAATGTGCCTACAAGACAATTGCAGAAACCATGAAACAGAACTTGAGGTTTGAAGAGAAGAATATCAAATGGAAAATTATTGAGAACCCCTTAAAAGAGCTTCTCAGGGTATTCAAAGAAGCAGAACAGTACATCAAGCAATCCCTGGAAATGAAGGATTTCTGGGCAAAAGCCATAGTTCTTTACAAGAATACAGATTCTGTTGAATTTCACATCCACAATTTGCTCTGTTGCGTTCCAATTGTCATTGAGGCCATAGAAATAGCAGGAGAGATTTCAGGTAGTGACCATGATGAGATACAGAAGAAGAGATTCATTTACTCAATGAAATATCAGAAAGAGTGTAAAGACCCAAGAATTTTCCAATGGAAATTCGGAAAGCAGTATCTGGTTTCCGAGAAGTTCTGTGAAAGGGTAAGCTTAGTTTGGAATGAAGACAAGTGGATAATGCAGAATAAAATTCGCGGGAAGAAGAAGAATTCAGGTTCATGTACTTTGACAAAGCACGAGCTACGACTTGCTGATCTCCTCTTGAGGAACTTAAACGAGACGGAGACAGAGAATGATCACAAACTCTTACCTAGCTCAGTTCTTGTAAATTCTAAGGATTACCAGATAAGAAGGCGATTAGGTAGTGGAAGCCAATACAAGGAGATCCAATGGTTGGGGGAAACCTTCTGTTTAAGGCATTTGTTTGGGGATATTAAGCCCCTGATTCCAGAGATCACTCAAGAACTGAGTCTCTCTCATCCAAATATAATGCACGTCTCCTGTGGTTTCAGTGATGAAGAAAAGAGAGAATGTTTCTTAATCATGGAACTTATGAACAAAGATTTATCTAGTTACATCAAAGAGATCTGTGGACCAAGAAAGCGCGTACCATTTTCTCTTCCAGTTGCAATTGATTTACTGCTTCAGATTGCAAGGGGCATGGAATACCTCCACTCAAAGAAAATATATCATGGTGAACTGAGTCCTTCCAACATCCTTGTCAAGGCGAGGAACATAACTACAGAAGGGTACTTACATGCAAAGGTTTGTGGATTTGGCTCATCATGTTCTATCAAGCTTCCTCAGAAAGCTCATGTGAGTCAAAATAATGGGACTCTCCCGTTCATTTGGTTTGCCCCAGAAGTCCTAGCTGAACAAGAGCAGTCGGGGGATGGAGGGAGCATCAAGTATACTGAGAAGTCTGATGTGTACAGTTTTGGGATGATATGTTTTGAGGTATTAACAGGGAAAGTTCCCTTTGAAGATAGCCATCTACAAGGAGATAAAATGAGTAGAAATATAAGGGCAGGAGAGAGGCCATTATTCCCATTTCACTCACCAAAATATGTGACAAGCTTGACAAAGAAGTGTTGGCATACTGATCCATACCAACGACCAAGTTTTTCATCCATTTGCAGGGTTCTCCGCTACGTAAAGAGATTCTTGGTGATGAATCCTGAACACGGCCAACAAGATTCACCATTGCCACCAGTAGACTACGCCGAGATTGAGGCTGCCATCTTAAGGAGCTTCCCCTTTTTAGGAAATTCTGAATCTGATCCTCTGCCTGTCACACAAATACCATTCCAAATGTTTGCGTACAGGGTGACTGAGAAAGAAAAGTCAAGCACAAGTCACAGAGACATAAATTCTGAATCAGGAAGTGATGGAGCTTCAGCATGTGGGGATGATCCTGTAACAGCAGATGATCCACTTCCATCACCAACCGAAAAGAAGAATATTGCATCTCCTGAGATTTTGAGCAGGAGACTTTCAATTAAGAAACCTGCAGATATCAAAGTCGGCAAGCAACCAGGTACGATTTCTTGGCTCAAAAGCTATATCGTGCAATATTTTAGCTTAATCTTGCCTTTTCTTAAGGGCTACTTTACCTTGTTCTTAAATTTTACAGAAAGTCGACAGCCTAACAGAAACTCTGGGACACCAGTAACAGCATATAACCCTATTTTATTGTTATTTTCTCCTTACCAGCAAAAATCCACAAAATAAGTTCTCATTTGTTATAACCGGATGAGGACTATGGAACACTTAATTGGTAGATGTAAAGTAATCATGTTAAGAAGTTCTTATCTTAAAGTTAAAATCACATCAACTTTGATCCTTTACATAGATAATGTTAGGGTTCTTAGCAATACCATGAAATATGAGCAGCCACAGCATCTAGTTAGGTTATGTATCTATGAGCTTCAGTAACACAGTATTGCCAGAACAAGAATGATTCCAAGAGAACCTACAAATTGATGCATGCGATACCTTGTGCAATGATTGTAGATTAGTCTACCGGCATCTTCACTTCCCTTATCCTCAACTATTAGTGCAAGCTACAAAGAAAAGGAGAACGATTCCAATTATGCAATTTCCATATTGTTTTTCATTGTCTCAAACATCATCATGAGATCATTGTTCCAGGAACACCAAGGGGACGGTCGGTAAGACCTCCACAAATACGCACTATAAGGCAGAATTCCGAAAGTCAGCTAATGATTATGAACAGCCCAAGAACAAGGAGATCATCTGGTCATGCATCAGATTCGGAGCTTCCTTAACTAGTTTCCAAATTATCCACATTTTACAATACATTCTGATCCAACCCGATCAACAAATAACATGGTTGTGGTCTAAGATATTCATTATTGTTACTTGTTTTGTGTAATATATACCACCCTAGTGTCTCATATAGGGAAGGGACTGGAAGTTCAGAACAGCGGCATTTAGAGGCTCCTCATTGATCCTCATTTATCAGATTAGATTTACAACCCGGAATTGTGTAAGATTTGGAAGGGTTCCAAGAGGCAATTCAGCTCCCTCATTCAGCTTGCAGAGAGCATATTAGGCCGTGCGGACAATTTTGGAGAAAATCCTTGTTTTGGAGAAAAAAGTTTTTGCAAAAAGATGTGTTTGGACAGTTGTAGTTTTTAAAAATTATGAGTGTTTTGTGAGTGCAAAAAGGTTTTTGGTTCAAAAGTGTCAATTGTGCCTCCTTAGACTTGTCTCCCGATTCGGTGTGCCTTCCATTTGCTTTCTAACAAAGAGAAGAAAATGGCACCATCATATTAGCGTTGTGCTCCTTGAGCTGCATATATCAGTTATCCTTAAGGTGCATGAAGAAGAGATCAACTACCATATTAACGTAAATATCATTTTGTATAGAACTGAAAGAAATGCCAGAGCAAAATGAATCTACGGACAAAAGATATTGACATAAAAAAGAAATGCACATACATTGCCCTCTCTTAAACTCTGAATGGTCATATATATAGTAATTTTATTTAAAAGAAAATGCTTCTTCCTAAACAAACAGAGATGCAATGGAACTTGAAGGTTTGTGTAGTGCGATTGTTGCTGATTTCAAATTGCGAGAAGCCAGACGATCCATTCTCACTTAAATTGCTTATGCAGGATGAAAAGATATCATATAATCCTTTTTGTTAGATGCATTTGATGGTGAAGGAATTGACCTTTTAAAGGAAACCGAGTACATGAGAAGTCTAGCCTGCTCCTTTTTACAAAAGGTCCACTATCAACTACATCTAGCAAAAAGGATTATAAGATACCTTTTCACCACGCAGAAGCAATTCAAGCGAGAATGGATTGGCTGATTTCTCGTGCTCTAAAACCAGCGACAATCGCACTACACAACCCTTCAAGTTCCATTGCATCTTCATAATGGAGTGAATGTTTGATCTAATGTTTGACAAATTAATGCAAAAAAGTAAACAAAAGTAAACCAGCTCGTTTTAGAAGTTGAAATACGATCATTTGCTTCAAACTCGTCATTCAAATAATCAGGATTCTATTTCATGTGAGACTCCTTGAAAAAAACAAGTAGATGTAAACCTTATCTTTCTAGAATCGTCATGTATGTAGATCTCATGCTTTTCAAAAGTTGATTCTTCCTGAACAAGTAGAAAAGCGTTTTTTGAGTTACTCAAATTTTGAAATTAGATCTTGACTGTGAAAAATTAGAACAAAATTAGAACAGAGAAATAAATCTTCAGTAGCGCGTGCGCACACACACATCACTATCTTCTTTGTTTTAAAGGAGTTGGAGGCAGAATCAAGTCGGAAAGATTTTCTGAAACTGGCCAATAAAAATCTAACATTCCGCTTGAGGAAACAATATCCAGAACGACGCGATACCCTAACCAGACACTAGTTTATACACGATTCAAAAGAAGAAGAATAAACAAATTTGAGAGGGTGAAATGTTAAAGCAAGAAAATTAGTCCCAGAAACACATAACAGAAAATCAAGAATCCGAGAAATAAATTTCAAACCTTTAAACGAAAATGCACGAAAAATAGTCCAGATGAAACAACAAAGTCAAGCAGCAATCTCAAGAGTCGAACCTGGGATCAAGTAGGAAGTAAATGGGTCAAGTAGCGATGCCTGTTGCTAGAGTTTAGTAGAGTACGTCAGGTTTTAATTGATTCATGAACTATTTATATAGAGGATTTTTAAAATTTATTACTATTGATAATTAATTTATTGGAAAACGAAAATTGGTAAATTCTAATGAAATATGATGATACATGTTGCATTCCTATTGGGACACAAAAACTAATACTCCTTCGGTTTCAAATTAAATGAGGTAGTTTGACTTGATACGGAGTTTAAGGAAAAAAAGAAAACTTTTGAAATTTGTGGTAAGCTTTGTTGGGCCATGACTTTTGCGTGGTTATAAAAACTTCTCATTAAAGGTAAAATGAGGAGTTTAAAGTTGAATTATTTCCAAATTTAGAAATGTTTCATTTATTTTGGAACAGATTAAAAAGGAAAGTACCTCATTTAACATGAAACGGAAGGAGTAAACCATTCTACTATTTGAAACGGAAAAGTTACTTCTTCTTTCTTTTTTTAAGGTAAAAGTCATTCAATTTTATATTTATTACCCAAAAATTACTTTTTTGTCTTTTGCTACGTAAAAATCATTTTACCATAGTCTAGTTATCACAAGAGCCACTTTGACCAGATTTTATAAAACTTTCACCTGTAAAGCTTATTATGCCCTTGACATTATACATACTCCCATTTATGTAATACCTTCTATATTATATAATATCTAATATAATTTTACCTAGGTATTTTACTTTTAGTTAAAATAAAATTTATATTATTTTATATGTTTTATAATATATTTGTACATTTAATTTTTTCTTAAGATTAATTTTCAAGATATATAGGTAGTACTATTAAATTTGTCAGTAACATTACTGTAGACAAATCTCAAGTTAACGTTTTTAACCATGCCTAATGAAATATTTTCAACTAAAATTATAAAATTAAAGCTCACAGATTTATCAGCCAAGTCATATTCATTAATCTAATAAATAAAATACAACATTTAGAGCGCTGACACATCATATTAGTCCATTTAAATAAATAATATTAACAGATAAAGCTTTTAAAATAACTTAATATTAAAGACAAATATCTTTAAAAAAATTTAATTTTTACTAACTACAAAAAGCTCATTTCTTAAACAAATCTATTTTTATTATTTCAAATAAATATTAAAAAATAAATATCTTTGTCATTTTTATATTTCAAAATATTCATGTTTAAATATGATTAAACAAATTGAGTGCCTTGGAAAATTAAATATACGGATATATTATAAAATGAATAATAAAATATTATAAATTCATTTTAATAATGAGTAAGACACTTAGGTAAAAATATATTATTTAGTGTATAATATAGAAGGTATTACATAATTGGAGGATTTATAAAAAAGGGATAATAACTTTTCAAGTAAAAGTATTATAAAATCTGGTCCGGTAACTAGAGCAAAGTAAGATAATTTTTGTGTAACAAAAAAAATTTACTTTTGGGTAATGAACACAAAGTTTAATAATTTTTACGTAACAAAAAAAAGTGACTTCTGGGTAATGAACACAAGCATGACCAACAAAAAAATAATAATTTACAAGTGGATTTTGGATCGTGATAATTGAATGCACCTACGGATTGTGCTTTAGACTTTGAAGGATCGCCAGCTATACAAAATTATGATTTTGAGCATCAGATTAAGGGAGGCAAGAAAATAAAATATGGGCGAAATTCAAAAATAGCCAGATTTACAACTGGTCGTTCAAAAATAGCCCAGTTTCAAAAGTAATCAAAATTTAGCCACTTTTCATGTAAAGATAAATCTGAGCGAAAACACAGTTCAAAACCCGGAAAAATACGCCAGTATATTATGCTGGAGTTCCAGCATAAGTATACTTGAACTCCAGCATATTATACTGGAGTTCCAGGATAATTATGTTGGAACTCCAGCATAATATGATGGAGTTCCAGCATAAGTATACTAGAACTCCGGCATAATATACTGGAGTTCCAGTAAGTATACCGGTCCACCGTAATATACTGGAGTTTGGAGCACCGGTGCTCCAGTCTCCAGTATATTATACTGGAGCCAGCAAAGTATACCGGTGCAGCATAATATGCTGGAGTTCATACATATGTGCACCGAACTCCAGTATATTATGTTGGACCGGTCTCTGTTGCAGCAAAATAATGGCTATTTTTTATTGACTTGCTAAACACTGGCTATTTTTGAATGACCAGTCCGAAAACTGGCTATACCGTGCTATTTTGACATAAAATAATCGAGAGGTCATGCTGTATTGGGAATAATTGAGTTTACATATAAAGATGACATGTCATGACGCGTGGATCGATCAAGGAATTATGATTAGCAAAGAGGTACGAGTTGCAACATGCACGAGTAGAGGCATGAAAAGAGGCACGAGCAGCTATGCGGAAGATTCAGCGCCGTACCTATTTAAGTTCAAGAATTAAAGAGAATGAACCTGACAATACAAAGGGGTACAAATACAGTACTTAATGAGCCTTTAATATTAAAAACATTAGAGAATCTGTATTAAATATAATGATTATGTAACGTAGCATTTAATGCCATTAAACTGCCCATAATAGCCTTATTATGACAAAGACAAAACGCATATCTCTCAAATAGCTATAAAAGGGAGATAACTGATCAATTGTATGGACACGAGACACTATCTGAATATACTTTGGTTTACTTGTTTCTCTCTTGATTATATTCTTGCTATCCAAATTGCTTTCTTTTATACATTCTTTCGATTATCAGTAACCCGCGTTCTTCTAAATTATAAGCTTTAATCGAAATTCTATTTTTTGGTTAAACAAATTGGTTCCGTTACCGGGAATCTGATAATCTATTTTTTCTCAACCTTGTCTATTTCGTTACATCAACGATCACGTCAAATGTTAACGACAACACCCAGGGAAACCAAGGAAACCACCAACTCCAAGGGGACCCACAAGATGTTCACACTCCGATTCCTTCTCCACAAAGCTCGCCTCGGCGGTCTCGAGAAGGAACTCCTGATGGATCCCATTCAAATGCAAATACTCAATTTAACAACGATGAAGCTATCAATGAAGCCTTGCAGAAGTTGATCGCCCAACAGGTCAATAAAACTCTTGAAGCTTTTGCTAGCCAATTACCTGTTGCACCATCAACACCAGTTATAAATACCAACACTTTGGAAAACCCTCGTTCTGGGCTTGTTAATTCTGGCAGTGGTGGAATCCTCAGTGAATCACGAGAGGGAGAACCAGGTAACATAGTTAATCCCGATTTACAAAGTTTAGTTCTAACATTGCAGAAACAGCTTAAGGAGCAAAGTGACCGCATAGAGCAAATACCTGGGGTGCCCCCCGTGATCAAAGGGATAGATGTGGATAAATATTCGCAACAACACTGGAAGCCAAGTGCTGCTCCCCTCCCAATTCTAAAGAAATTTAAAATGCCTGATATTTCAAAATATGATGGAACAACTGATCCACGAGACCATGTGACTGCATTCACAACAGGCTTCAAAGGCAATGACTTGACCAAACAGGAGATTGAACCTGTATTGGTCAAGAAATTCGGTGAAACACTCACTAAGGGTGCATTAACATGGTATTCTCTTTTACCCGAAAATTCTATAAATTCTTTTGCTGAGCTTGCAGATTCTTTTGTCAAAGCACACTCGGGAGCTCAGAAAGTTGAAAAAATAATGGAGGATATTTTCAAAATCAAGCAAGGGGATTCAGAATTGCTCAGAGAGTTTGTAGACACATTCCTACGGGAAAGAATGACGTTACCACACGTACCTGACAATTGGGCAGCTATAGCATTCACAAGTAACTTGAATGAAAAAAAGCTCAGAAGCTACGAGGCGACTTAAGGAGAGTCTTTGTGAATTCCCAGCAACGACATGGAATGACGTTTATAACAGGTATAGCACAAAGCTGAGGATTGAAGAAGATACTATTTCACGACATCAAAAAGAAGAAAAGGTAAGTTCGAGACGGGCAGAAACCGAAAAAAGGTCCGGTAAAAACAGGTACGAGCCATACATGGGACCTGCGGGAGAAGACTCACGGTCAAAGCAGGATAATCAGAGGTACGATCACAGATCGGGGAATAGAGAGTCGGGTTCGTCTTCGAGATTTAGAAATGATCGAAGCACACGTGAGTCACGAGATGATGATAGAAACTTAAAGGCGAGGTTTGGTGGTTATAATTTCAATGTGAGCACTTCTGAACTCGTGGCTGTCTTGAGAAGCATGGGAGATAAGGTACGATGGCCAAAGGAGATGAGATCGAATCCAAACAGGCAAAACCCTGATCATTGGTGCAAATTTCATAATGATCATGGGCATAAAACGGCAGACTGTAGGTTCTTGCAAAGTGAAATCGATCATTTATTAAAGCAGGGGTATCTCACCGAGTTGTTCAGTGAGAAAGGTAAACAAGCTTACATGAAGAACAGACAGGAGCCACCTAAACTACCTTCTCCCAAAAGAACCGTCAATGTTATGAGCGGGGGTGAAGACGTCAATGGCGTATCGTACACCGCGGCTAATAAAATTTCCAAAGTTACAATTACTCAAGGGAAACGGGTACGTCATGTCTTAGAGGAAGACATCATTACATTTGACGATGCGGATGCGGATGGCGTATTAACCCCTCACAACGACGCACTGGTAATATCTCTAATCGTATATGATACTAATGTGAAACGAGTTTTGATTGATCCAGGAAGTTCCGTGAACATTATTTTGCTAAGAGTATTACGTGAGATGCAAGCTGAAGATAGAACAATACCAAAAGCGCATACTCTATCTGGATTTGACAATTCCAGTGTTGTGATGAAAGGAGAGTTAACACTCACCACATTTGCAGAAGGAGTCGTCAAAGATACAAAGTTTCAGGTAGTAGATATGGAGATGGCTTATAATTTGATTCTGGGGAGACCATGGATGAATGAAATGGATGATGTTCCTTCAACCTTGCATCAAGTCATTAAATTTCCATCACTACGTCAAATTCGTGGAGATCAACATACATCCAGGAGCATCAACTCC